ATAAAAAAATTAAAAAAAAAAATTTAAAAAAAAAAAAAAAAAAAAAAGAAAGTGATCTCAGGAGTGTTCATGTAATTGAGTTTAATGCTTTGCTTTTTCTTTGACTATTCATGTTTGTTGTATTGCTTGTTCCTTGACTATTTACATCTTTTGTATTGTTAGACCCTCATCCTAGAACTGACCTTAATACATGTATGTAATCAAAATGGTATAAAAGTATAATGGAGGAGGAGAGATGGGATAGAGGGTTTTAGGGAGGGGAAATGGGGAAAGGCGATGACATCTGTATTGTATTAAATAAAATATCGAAGACAAAAAGATAGCCAAGGTTGTACCTTATGCATCAACTGTACTTTGTCTTGTGTAAGAGTCACCTAGAAGGTACTGGTTTTTAAGGCATGAAGAGGTCATGAAGAGCATATGAGGCTTGTCACTATGAGAGGTTATGGAATGTAATTTCTAAAGGAGCAGCCTCAGTTGCAGTTGACAACCCAGGACTGAAAATGGTCGTGCAAAGGATTTGACGCTTGGCACCGTGAAGAGAGCCTATGAGATGCTACTGATGGAGTCTATTTTCAGAGAAAGACCCTAGTGTATTGGAGATGCCACTACCATGGGATAATTACCAAAAACAGCAGCAGCAGTGGACTGGATCAACCTGAGCTTAGAGTAGTACAGAGGGCAGAGCTGCAGAAGTGACACCAGCCCTTTGGAGGAGCACAGAAGTTCATATGTAGATCCCCGACATTGAAACAAGAAGCTGTAACATTAAAGTTGCCTTGGAAACCCAAGATGTTTGAGATGCCAGAGCCATGGGCTATCTGCTGAGGAAAGCTGCTAACAGAAAGTGGAACTAGTCCAGGAGAAAGAAAGTTGTTGCAGTCACCAAAGATGAAAAATGTGATCAGAAAACTGCTTTCACGTAAGACATGAGATGCAGAGCTTGGAGTCTGCCCAGCTGATTTCCTGTCTTGCTTTGGAGATCACAGTTAAGTGACTGGATGAATCTCAGAAGAAACTTAGAACTTTGAGTTTTTAACATTGTTGAGACTCCTATATATACTATGAGTACTTTGGAATATACTTTTTATTAGGATATGTTTAGGTATCGCCAACATAAACTCACATGTTTAGAGAAGCCTTTGGGAGCCAGGGAGTACAATGTAAGGGTTTGTATATGCTTGGGCCAAGGAGTGGTACTACTGGAAATGTGGCCTTGTTGAAGTAGTTGTGTCACTGTGAGTGTGGGCTTCAATACCCTAGCCCTAGATGCCTGGAAATGAGTATTGTGCTAGCAGCCTTCAGATGAAGATGCAGAACTCTCAGCTCTGCTGCACCATGCTTGCCTAGACTCTCCCATGCTCCCACCTTGATGGACTGAATCTCTGACCTGTAAGCCAGTCATAATTGAATGTTGTCCTTTATTAGACTTTCAATAGGCATGGTGTCTATTCACGGCAGTAAAACCACAACTAAGACATCTGAATACCTCTGTTCCCACCCCCATTTGTTTCAGTAAATGCTTGAAACTCTCAGTCCATTAAGAACAAATGGAACATTTTCCCCTTGGGCTTCATTATGCATCAATTGTTAAATGAGCAGTGCAGAGAGAGTACCAGCATCTTCAAAGAATGGATACCGACAATGTAGTGCCAAAGACACCAGGAAATACTATTCAACTATTAAAATCAAAGACAACATTAATTTGAAGGCAGATGGGTGGAAATAGAGAATATCATTCTGACTAAGTTAGCAAAGTCCCAAAATGGAATTCATGGTATGTACTCACTTTTAAGTGGATAATAGCCATAAAATACAAGATACACACACTACACTACACAGACCCAAAGAAGCTAAACAAGAATGAAGGCCAAATGAGAATGATGGATTCTCACTTAGAAGGGGGAAAAATTGTTGTAGGAGGCAGATCAAGGGAGGGAATTGGGTAGGAGGGTGCATGTGGATGAAAATGTAGAGGTTCAGGATCAGGTGAAAGGAGAGATGGGAGAGATGGCCAGTTGGCCATGAGAATGAAGGGAAATCTGTAACTGGCAGAGGAGTAGGTGTGGGCATCTCAATATGGAAATGACCCTGCTCTGCTGCAGCATGAGAGTAGGGGTCACTCAGTCACCACAGCCAGGCTGACGGGGAGACTGGTCTTCGAGCTGATTGGGTTGAAGGCCTCACATTGGTAATCTCCAGCATCCTCCCTTGTGACAGTATGTATCCTGAGTTGGCACTTTGAGGGGGACAGAGTCATCCTCTCTGTGAGCTGCAGCCTCTGATTATTGAAGAGCCAACGGATGGAGATCCCAGTGATGTCTGAGAAGCAGCTGAAGACCACTGAACTCTGGACTCTAACCGTTGTATGGGTGACTCTCAGGACAGGCTGTGTCGCAAGCTCTGAAAAGAATCAGAGAAGGGGACCAAATGACAGTCTTCCTTTAGTCAGGTCAACCCACCCCTCTGTAGCTCACCATTAATAAAGCTTCCAGGGTAGGGAAATTGGAGCTGTGATGACAGTCATATCTTGTGATTTGCATCTGTGACCCAGGGAATGTGTGACACTGATTCAGTCACTCAGTTTGCTATGCTTCAGTTTCCCGATACTATGACACACTGTGCATGATCACTGCAGTACCTATGAGTTAAGATTCAGCATGAGCAATGTTCTGATCTGGTGATGGGGAGCTGCTCACACCAGCAGCATCTGTTACACTTACCCTAGGTTGGACTCATGAGGATGAGGAGGTGCCTGGAGAACTGTCACCTCTGTCCCTTCTCTTGAGGACATTATTTTAATCTAAGTCTCTTAGGTCCATCAGAACAGATGGATTCTGTCCTGGCACCTGTCCACTGAGACTCAGGAGAAGAAGGTGCACAGGAGACCTACATGACTACAGGTGTCATGGTGCTACACAGCTGATCCTACACCCTATGGGACTTGAAGAGTGACCCAAGCCTTGCTCCCTGTCAGCTCTGACTGGAACTCCAATGCTAGGCCAGAGGAAAGGCTTTCTGGGAACAACTGAGTCTGGACCCTCGGTTTCCTCATGATCCTCATATGGATTCAGTAGTGAGCTGGACCATGGAGGGAGGGTGAACACAGGCTAAACTTAAAGATGGACTTAAACTTAAAGATCCAGCATGAATCTGTAGGGAATGCTGAGAAGTTTGTGTGTTTGTGCAGGAGCAGGTGCATACCATCCTGTGTGGATGCTTAAGTCTAGGTCACAGCATCTAGATCTAGGTCAGGGGTCAAACTGAGGGACCTTTTCTTATCTTTCCACCTTAGGAGATTCTAGCAAGTCTCTGAGCTCCCCTCCTCACACACAGTCAGACACTACTCTCCTCACCAGTGAGCAGGAGACACTACCAAGGGCTGTAAGCATTGCAGAGAAGTACACAGTGGGCCACCATGACCATGGATACTCTACCCTCCATCTATGGAGAACAGCATTTGTTCATGCACTGACCCAAAGCTCTGCGGCCTTCCTCCCTCTGAGCTCAGCCTCCTCCCAGGCAGAAGCCCTTCCCAGGGCGATGCTGACTGCTGTCAGGGATGATGACAAGCACAAGGCTGAAAATCATCTCTTTGTCCTGGGACAGCAACAGCTCACCCCAGGGCTGTCCTCTTCTGTGTTCTCCCAATGTGTTCTTTATGACTCAGAATCTTAATATGCCATTTGTCTTCAATACTCTGAGGTGAGATCAATTCCCTGCAGGAAGGTGACACAGATGCCTGTGAGGACTAGGAAGGGACCTGCAGAATGATGTCTAGGAAAGGGACAGTCTCATTCTCCTTGTGGTGAGCACTCAGGGAGCATGGTCATGACACCCAGGAGCAGTTGTGTGAGGACTGTCATGTGGCTGTGCAGCAGGAGATCACCTGGACCCTAGAGAGAAGACAGTGGCCCCATAAACCTAGGGAGAGTTTCAGAGAAACTCTCAGAATCCTACACTGGCAGAGCCTCACCTAGGGTCTAAATGTGTCCTTCCTGGGGGGAGGTGGACAGCTGTCTTCTGTCTAGGTGATTCCCCATGGGAATTGCCACAGACAGCCTGGAACCTGGTAGCACAGGGTCCTCTGACACAATCATGTGCTGATTACATGTGAAAGTCTGCCCAAGAGAACTCCAGGTCTGTCAGGTCAAGGATGGAGCCAGGCTACAACCTATGTGCATGGTTCCTGGAATTACTTTTCTGAGTTTTCTGTCATTCTGAGCATAGAAAGAACCTCAGGATACTGGGAAGACTCTGAAGCCTAAGGCTGAGTTACATCACCATCTAATGAATACCAATGGAATTGCACCTCATGTCTGAGTGCTGTTCAGTTTAGAAACTCTGAAATTCTCTGCCTGCAGGAAAGAATTCCAGGAGCTGGATATCAGAGTACAAATACTTGCAAAAATGACCTGTGTTCTTCATCCATCACCTTGGAGAACTAGACACCTTGTGAGGTCTAAATAGGCCATCGAAACAGCTAGTTAGTGGCCTGGGAACCGAGATTATCCTGTTCAACTATGCATTCCTGGCTGAGTCTATGTGGAAGATGTCCAGGGTAACTAACATAACTCTGACGCTCATTGAAGTGCACTGGATGGTATGATAAACTTTTACCATGTCAGCTCTATCAGGAATTCAAAGCCATGCAAAGAGAAAAACATTTCCAAGTGTCATCTGGAGTCTAAACATCATGGAGATTTGAAGACAAGGTTTCTGGTACTCTGTGTGGGGACTCCATGACTTCCTGAGCTAGGGTTTATCTGACCCCACAGAGGCTATATCAGGGCTATGTGCATGATGAGAGGCCCAAGGGTCAGGGCTGAGTCTTAAAGACTTAGTTTATCCTGCATATGGTGGGTAAGTCTGCATGAAAAGACAGGTGAAGATCTCTGATCTAATTGTTGTTCCACCCCACATGTGCGATGCAGTAAATGCACAAATGCCAGTGTGAGGACATAATGCAGAGGGGGATAGAGCAGAAAAACCCACTGCTCACAGCCTACTTACGAAGTAGGGTAAGCCACACCCAGAAGCTGGAAGTCATAGAGAGCCACTTACTGTTCACGTTGACCTGCACGTGTGCTGTTTCAATTTTGAAATTGCTGTCTATCACTACTAGAGTGTACAAGCCCATGTCTTCTTCAGTGACATTCTGGAGCAGCAAGGATCCATTGGTGTACCCTGTCTCTCTTCCTCTGTGTGCTCGGCCCCTGATGATGGACTTTGTAGCTATGTTATACTCTGCAATTTTAAATGCCTGAGTGCTACACACTCCTTTGTACCAGGAAAATGTTTGCAGATGTTTTGGTAGACTATGGACATGGAGAAGAACACTTTCCCCTTCTGCAGCATGTGGTGGCACTGGATTGATCGTTAGTGGGGCAGACTTGAGAGGGTCACAGCACGAGGACAGGGAAGCTGGAAAGGAGAGGAGAAAAGTCATCACATAGGATCATTGTGTTTGGTTGAAAGATGGTGACCTGCATCCTGAGTAGACGAATTCTTCACTCACCCTAGAGATGCAGGTGTAGGTATATCTATTCCATCTGTTAGAAGTCAGTATCAACCCTCCCATCAGTCGCATCTGTCTTTTCCTCTGCAGGGAGCTCTCTCCTCAGTGTCTCCATAGCTGTCCTTCACTGCCCTCGGTCACACACTACACATCATCATGAACACTGTGCTTTGAGATGATGCCTCCCTCTGACCTTGGTCTCTACACACCCTGGATATTCAATTTCTGACTTTTCTCATTTCCTTTTTTCCTGCAGTCAACCTCTGATCTCACAGTCAACATGTTCCTACTGCTCTGCCTGCAGCTCCCAGGACTCAGGTTGGATGAGGGCTTGAAGCAGTCTGGTCTTCTTAGCAGGCCCAGAAATTATTCTGGCAGGCTTTATGTCAACTTGACACAATTCAGAGTCATTTGAAACAGGGACCCTCAACTGAAAATACAAATAGCAGAATGGCCGGTGGTCAAGTCTAGAGTAAACCTTTAAACCAGTGATTGATTTGGGAGGGACCAGTCTGCTCTGAGTATTTCCACATCTTTGCTCATGGTCCCATGTGCTATAAGATCAGGATGAGCAAACTGTGGGAAGACAGACAATAATAGAACTCCTCCATTCTATCTACAACACCCCTGGATTAGTTTGACTTTTTGGTTTTGTTTATTTGTTTGTTTGTTTGTTTTCTTTTTTCTTTTTCTGATACTCTCATGTATTGAGATAGAGAATACACTGGTATAATATAGACAGCCAAAAACCATTGTTCACTCTCTGCTCAGAGCAGGAGTAAGTGTTAAGTCCTGGTAAAATGGAACCTGAGACATTTTCAGTCAAGCCGGAGACAGACAACTAGGGACACAGCTTCCTGGTGATCACCACTCAGTGAGGACTCCACAATTTCCTAATATGCATCGCAAGAGCATCAACAGACAGAGCATCTGGCAATGAAGGTCCTCCTAGATACAGGGAGGAGTCAGAAGTCAGAGTTTAACCCATGGACATTTCTCTGCTCCATGTGTGTCCTGCACACAGTGCTCAAACCCCAACTCAAAAGTGAAGAGAGGAGGTAGCCACATGCAGGGAGTGACAGGCCTGTGTTTCGTAGCCCCACCCAGCACTGAATGATCACAGAGAGTCACTTACTGTCCACCTGAAGGTACACGTGTGCTAATTCCACACTTCCATATCTATTCAGAGTTCGTAGAGTATAGAATCCAGTGTCTTTCCAAGTGACATTCTGGAGCAGCATTGATCCATTTCTGTACACAATTTCTCTACCACTGTGCGCAGGGCCCAGCTCAGATGAAGTTTTGGCTCTTCTGAATCGGACAATCTCAACCTTGTTAAACACAATCACCCCTTTGTACCAGAAAATCGATCGAAGATAGGGTGGAAGATTGTGAACAAGTAAAAGAACACTTCCGCCTTCAGCAACATGGGGTGGCACTGATTCAATAGTGAGCTGTCGAGGTTTGTAAGGACCCCCACAGATGTAAAGAGAGGCTGGAAGGGAAGAGAGATCCATCAGTATTAGGACTTTTGTATTTGGCTAAGATGTCCTGAGCAGCTGTATCCATTGCTAGTGAGTTGTGTACAGGAGGGTCTCCCTGCCCTACTTGTTGGAGGCCAGCACATTACCTCCATTCACTCTGTGTCGCTCTCTTGTCATTTTCTCTCTATGATGCCTCTCCTTGGATGTCAACATGGCCCCTCCTCACTGTCTTCAGATCCCTGCTCACACTCTGTGTAGATGGGTTTTGGAGTCCTACCTCCTGACCTCTTCCTCAGCAGACCTGTATTCATTCTGTTGTGTTTCTGTTCCTTTAATGATTCCCCCAAACACCTGATTAACCTTCTAGCTTTCTTTATTTGTCTGTCTTCCAGTCTACTAGTGCTAGAGAATTTTGAGACTGATGTTGGTCCTACATTCTTTTTAAAGAAAGGCTGCCTAAAAATACATCAGATATCTGTGGGGAAACAATGAATGACTGAATAAATGAATGATGCCTCAGGATAATGAATAGTATGGGAATACTAGTTCCTAAAAATACATCAGATATCTGTGGGGAACCAATGAATGATTGAATGAATGAATGATGTCTCAGGATAATGAATGCTATGGGAATACTATTACCTAAAATTGCATCAGATATCTGTGGGGAACCAATGAATGATTGAATGAATAAATGATGTCTCAGGATAATGAATACTATGGGAATACTATTACCTAAAATTGCATCAGATATCTGTAGGGAACCAATGAATGATTGAATGAATGAATGATGTCTCAGGATAATGAATACTATGGGAATACTAGTACCTAAAATTGCATCAGATATCTGTGGGGAATCAATGAATGATTGAATGAATGAATGAGGTCTCAGGAGCATGAATACTATAAGATTTAGCAAATCAATAAGTTTAGGGATGCAGTGTTCAGTACTTCCATTAACTTTGAATATTTACACTGTGTGTGTGTGTGTGTGTGTGTGTGTGTTTGAGAGAGAGAGAGAGAGAGAGAGAGAGAGAGAGAGAGAGAATTTATGTCAAGGGTGTTTCTCTGAGTGTGTTGGTGGGTGGAGGACACCATTCCTAGGTGGAGGTCAGGTGACAACTTGTATTCACTGGTTCTCAGACTGTCAGACAATGAATTAAACGCCAATATTCACTGAGCCATGTCAATGATCAACACCAGCTTGGTTTCTTTTTTGGGACTTCATAGCTGAAAACATCAGAATTCAAAACACTGTGCTCATGCTGATTAACTGTGGGTGAGAACAATTTTAACCTCTCTCTACTTTTTCTCATCACCAAGAGCCTTCTGGTGCTGCTGCTGCTGCTGCTGCTGCTGAGCCTCTGTCCCACCATGTCTTTCCTTCTACAAACCTCAAGACTCCTCTCAGGTCATTGAGCTCCTGAGGAGACTCCAGAGAATAGGTGAGTCCTCTCCTCTTACACTCTGTAGAGTGTGGTTTTCTCACACATGATCAGGAGGGCCTGACAGGAGGTACAACCTTGGCAAAGAATACTAAAGGGGCCTCCCTGGACTCTGTGGACTGGTGTGTCCTCTGTCTGTTGCACATCTGGTCCTGATCAGGTCCCTAGTTCCTTCCTCTAGACGCAGCCCCCTCCCAAACAGAAGAATTTTACATAATTCCATGGCCTGTGAGTAGTTCTGTGTTCTCTGCCCTGTATACTCCCAATACTACCCACCAACCCTCTCCTCTTGGCTCTTTCTGCCTCAGACCTCCAGAGTGCACAGTGACAAACAACCTTGTGAGCACGTCTGTGTCCTGAGATAACAGCAGATCACCCAGGGGTGGTCCTCTGTTGTGTTCCTATCCTGGGTTAGTCAGCACCAAAGAAGGAGCCTCTGCACTCCCTCTATGACACAGAAACTCAGCTGGGCACTCAGTTTGCCCTCAGTTCTCAGTGATCTGGAAAGATGGAATTTGGTCTCAGGACGAAGATGACAGAAGTGTCAATGAGGAATTCAATGGGACCAGCTGCACGGTGAGTGGGGAAGGGGACAGATCCATTCTCACTGCAGTCACCAGTCAGGATTCTGAGGGAGAAGAAAGGCTCAGGAGCAGATGTGTCAGGAGCTTCCAGCCTAAGTATGTGGGAGGAGGGGATCTGAGTCCTGGAAGGATTACTCTGGGCTCCATCATCCCATGCAGGGTTTCAAATGGTGTGCATACTTCCTCTGCCTGCCCTAGCTGTGTGGTGGGTCTGGCCATGTGCTCCCTGGCCTTCCTGAGATGCCTTGAACCTCTGTCTATGTGATGGTCATAGGACACCCTTTAATCCCCAGAGAACATACATGTCTGGAATATGAACATGATCCCCTGGCAGGGTAGCAGATACACGAAGCAGCTAAGAGGTCTGAGGAGGCTGTGCCAGTGACCTCCAAATCTATGGGGACAGAGGTAAAAGTCAGGACACAAGGTGAGGTCCTGCTTGAGGCCTGTGGGTTCATTAGTATTCCTTGAGTGTCCCCAGTTATCCCTGCTCTTCACTGTGGCAAGTGCAGCTCATGTCTGGGAAACTGTCCACACCAGTAGAGCCTGTCCTCATTTGTCTGTAGGAGAGAATGTACTGGCCTCAAAAGACAACAACTTGCTAGGAGGCCCTGTGTCCTCTGTCCCTCTCCTTTGGGAACCTGGCCTTCCTGGAAGTCTCATAAGTCCATCAGGACAATGGGATAATGGCCTGGGAATCTGTCCTGTTGTGCTCTCCCTCTGGGTCAATAGGGAGGACCAGGAGACCTATCCTACTCGTTGCTCTCATCACAGGGCACTGTTTGGTTCAACATGGGGCAAGACCTTTACTCCTAACTTGCACTCTTCTGCCAACAAAAAGTCAAGATGCAACCCTAGCATAAAGCTTGCCAGAGCCATCAGGAGTTGAGTCTGGAAGAGAGGTGTGGAGCTAAGGGTTTCTGGTACTAAACTCTCTAAGACACCCATGCTTCCATAGGCCAGTCTTCCTTCCCTCAAGGTCTTTCTCAAGGACTGTCTCCTGCTAAGAACTCCAAGCATCTAGACAGAGGCTGATGTCCAGGACTGACTTGCCCACCATGCATGCAGGTTTCTCCAAGGTGAAGTCAAATGAAGGATTCTGTCCAATTGACATTATTCTTCACCATGTGTGTCCTGCACTAAATGGTAGAGTCCTAACATGGAGATTCAATGAAGAGGAAAGGGAGACACAGGCCAGGCCTGACACTTCTGTGTGCCTAGTAGAAGGACTCCACCCAGAACCCAGAGTTCACAAAGAATTACTTACAGTACACATGAAGTTGGAGGGATGTATTTGATATAATTTCTCCACGTCTACTTATGGTTCGAAAGGTGTAATATCCTGTGTCCTCCTTGGTGACATTTTGTATCCAGAGGGAGCCGTTGCTGTACAATGTCTCTCTACCGCTGTGTGTAGGACCTTGCACATTTGTGCCATAGGCCAGTGAATATAGTGAAATTCCTTGCTTCAAATTTTTTATCCCTCTGTACCAGGCAAAGCCTAGAAGATTTTCTGGCAAATTGTCAACACGTAAAAGAACATTTTCTCCTTCAACCACTTTGAGCGGTAAAGATTCGATGGTGACTTGGGCAGTGGTGGGCAGAAGCCAGCAGGTTAAAAGGGAGGCTAGAAGAGATGAGAAAGAAGCCACCAATCCTGATCAGGTGTAAGCATCACTTAACTTATGATTGTGGGCATATACACCCTTAATGGAGGTGAGTAACATGACCTTCATGCCCTCAGAGCCTCAGAGGGTGTCATTTCCTCTCTGTGGTATCCTCTACTCAGGTGTCCCCATATCAATCTTCATATAAATAGTGTCTGGTGTGAGCTCTCCTCCTCCTCCTCCTCCTCCTCCTCCTCCTCCTCCTCCTCCTCCTCTTCCTTCTCATCCTCCTTCTGTTCCTCCTTTACAACATAGCCCTCACTTTCTGAATTGTATTGTTTTATTTATGGTTCCATTAAACCATTGACTTTCTCCTCTGGATACTCTGAATTCTGATCCACTAGAAAAGGGCTTTGTGAGGACAGGGATTGGAGTTATCTATTTAGAAGCTTCAGTTCCTGAAAAGACTTCAGAAAATAATAGGGGCAAAAAGAAAGGGAAAAGAATGAAGAAAACAGAAAAAACAGGAAGGAAGAGAGGAAGGAAGGAAAGAAGGCTATCTCCATGGATTTATCTACATAGTTTCCAGGCTTGGAGCAAATGGCAATCAATATATTGAAGTGTAATTTAATAATTCTATGTAGTATGCATGAGTTTGGGAAGGCACATGTCTCAGTGTGCACATTGCTGGAGCATGATACACACATGTCTGGAGGGCAGAGATGACCCTGCAGGAGTCTTTATCTCTATACACTCTGTGAGAACTGAGGAACGAATTCAGGCTGTCATGTCTCCACACACTGAGCCATCTTGCTGACACTCCCAGGTTTGATTTCTATTTGGAATGTCACCATGTGATGGTTGGGAACACTGGGCTTCTGACCATGGAAGCCAATGTGACTGATTTTGAATAGGGACAACTGAGGCTTTTCTCTTCCCTCTTCAACTCCTATCTGCTCAAAGATTCCTACCACTGAGCCTTTGTCTCTCACTGTACCTTCTGCACTGTGACTACAAACAGAAACCAAAGTCTTCTCTAGACATCTCCTCTTGAGACGATTTTGGGCTTCTGAGTTCCCCTTCTCACACACAATCAGATAGTTGGAACACTTACCTGTGAGCAGGAGCCTCTGCCAAGGGGTACATCCCTTGCTGCAAAGCTCAGAAGACACCTCCATATCACTTCTCACTGTACTGTCCTTTATCTAAGGAGAAGACTTTACCTCCTGCAAAACACCAACCTCTGTTGTCCTTCCTCCTTCTGAGCTGAATTTTCCTTGGGCAGGAGAACTTCCCAGAATCTTTGGGCTGCGGGTGGTAGGGCCTGTGACCACTGTACTGCTCTGTCACTTCCACTCTCAGTGCTGCCCCATGTCTTTCTCAAATTTCTCTTTTATATTTCTCTTCCAACAACACCTTGAGCAACATGGATGATAAGCATCTGCATGACCTCAGAGAACAATGGCTCATCCAAGGGCTGATATCTGATGACTCCTAGACATGACTCTATCAGCATCAAAGAGGGAGCCTCTATCCTGCATATGTGTCCCTGTGACACACAGACCCACCTGTGCACCCAGTCTTCCCTGTGTCCTCAGTGCTCTGGAAAGGTGAATTTTCCCAGCAAGAAATGGACAGAGATGTCTATAAAGGTGAAAAGGGACTATCTCATCAATGGACAGATCATGGAAACAGAAACTAAACAGAGAAACTGTGAAACTAAGAGAAGTTATGAACCAAATGGATTTAGCAGATATTTATAGAACATTTCATCTAAGAACAAAAGAATATGCCTTGTTCTCAGCACCTCATGGTGCATTCTCCAAAACTGACCATATAATTGGTCACAAAACAGGCCTCAACAGATACAAGAAGACGAGAATCATCCCATGAATCAGATCACCAAGGACTAATGCTGGTCTTCAATAGTAACAAAACAACAAAAGGCCCACATACACATGAAAACTGAACATCACTCTACTCCATGATAACTTGGTCAGGGAAGAAATACAGAAAGAAATCACAGACATTTTATTTTATTTTTTTTATTCTATGAATTTTTTAATTTATTTGCAATTCACAAGTATAAAGCATCATATTTGAATTAACAATATGATCATAACTAGTTAAAAAAAGTTGAGGACTTACAAAATAACAAAAGATATAGGACAAATCTAGGTAACATTTTTCTTTATTTTTTTTCTTTTTTTAAAATTTTTTGAACATGAAATGCTTTTTTATAGCATGTTTTACAAGGGGAGGGGGTAAGAGGGGTCAGGTGGTGGAAAAGTACAGAATCTTCTTGGCCTGTGCCTTGAAACATGTCATGGTCCATACGGCACACTGCCTTGAATTATGATCTATCTGCTATTCTTCAGAAGATATGGTACACTGCTTGAGTTATGGTCTCCCTGCTATTCTTCAGAAGATATGGTACACTTCTTTGAGTCTATCTGCAGTTGCCAAGCAGGATCTTGCAGTTGCCAAGCTTCAGGGGACATTGTGCAGGTGGGGAAAGGTAGGGGGTGAGGGTAAGGGTGAGGGTCCTGGCTTCTGGCATCTCCCCCTTCTCTGTTTAGTTAGAGAAGGTGTCTTATGATCAATCCCAACTATGTGAGTTTTGAATTTAAATGTCTAATTATGGGGGAACAAAAAGAAGCAAATGGACCCAAGAGGAATAGATGGCAGAAAATAATCAAACTCAGGGCTGAAATCAACCAAGTAGAAACAAAAAGAACTATAAAAAGAATCAACAAAACCAGGAGCTGGTTCTTTGACAAAATCAACAAGATAGATAAACCCTTATCCAGACTAAACAGAGGATACAGAGACAGTATCCAGCTTAATAAAGTCATAACTAAGAAGGAAGACATAACGACAGAAGCCAAGGGAATCCAACAAATCATCAGATCCTACTACGAAAGCCTATACTCAACAAAACTGGAAATCTGGATGAAAAGGACAATTTCCTAGACACATACCAGGTACCAAAGTTAAATCAGGATCAGATAAACCATCTAAATAGTCCTATGACCCCTAAAGAAATAGCAGCAGTTATTAAAAGTGTCCCCACCAAAAAAAAAAAAAAAAAAAAAGCCCAGGACGAGATGGTTTTGGTGCAGAATTCTATCAGACCTTCAAAGAAGATCTAATACCAATTCTATATAAACTATTCCACAAAAAAAGGAACACTACCCAATTTGTGTTATTAAGCCACAATTACACTCATACCTAAACCACATAAAGACCCAACAATGAAAAAGAACTTCAGACAAATCTCCCTTATGAATATTGATACAAAAATACTCAATAAAATTCTCACAAACAGAATCGAGGAACACATCAAAACAATCATCCATCCTTATCAAGTAGGCTTTATCCCACAAATGCAAGGATGGTTCAAAATACAAAAATCCATCAAGATAATCCACTATTTAAAAATATAGTATTAAAAATATAGTATTAGTTAATATAGTAAAAATGGCTACCTTACCAAGATCAACGTACAGATTCAATGCAATCCCCATCAAAATTCCAACTCAATTCTTCACAGAGATAGAAAGAGCAATTTTCAAATTTATTTGTAATAACAAAAAAACCCAGGATAGTGAAATCTATTGTCAACAACCAGAGAACTTCTGGGGGAATCACCGTCCCTGACCTCAAGTTGTATTACAGAGCAATAGTGATAAAAAAAAAAACTACATGGTATTGTTACAGAGATAGGCAAGAAGATCAATGGAATAGAATTGAAGACCCAGAAATAAACACACATACCTATAGTCTCTTGATCTTTGACAAAGGAGCTAAAACCATACAATGGAAAAAAGACAGCATTTTCAACAAGTGGTACTGGTTGACCTGGAGGTCAGCATGAAGGAAAATGCAAATCAATCCATTCTTATCTCCTTGTACAAAGCTGAAGTCCAAGTGGATCAAGGACCTCCATATAAAACCAGACACACTGAAACTAATGGAAGAGGAGGTGGGGAAGAGCCTCAAATGTCATGGCACATGGGCACAGGGGAAAAGTTCCTGAACAGGACACCAATGGCTTATGCTCTAAGATCAAGTATTGACAAAAGGGACCTCATAAAATTCCAAAGCTTCTATAAGGCAAGGGGAACTGTCAATAGGACAAAATAGCAACCAACAGATTGGGAAAAGATCTTTACCAATCCTACATCTGGTAGAGGGCTAATATCGAATGTATAAAAATAACTCAAGAAATTAGACTCCAGTCAATCAAATTACCTTAATAAAAAATAGTGTACAGAGCTCAACAAAGAATTTTCATGTGAGGAATATCAAATGGCCATGAAGCACCTAAAGAAATCTTCAACACCCTTAGTCATCAGGGAAATGTAAATCAAAACAACCATGAGATTCCACATCAAACCAGGCAGAATGACTAAGATTAAAAACTTAGATGACAGCAGATGCTGGCAAGGATCTAGAGAAAGAGGACTTTTCCTCCATTGTTGGTGGGATTGTAAGCTGGTACAATATGTCTGGAAATCTGTCTGGAGGACCTCAGAAAAATTAGACATAGTATTACCTGAGGACTCAGCTATATCATTCCTGGGTAAATATCCAAAGGATGCTCCAACATATAACAAGGATGCATGCTCCTCTATGTTCATAGCAGCCTTATTTATAATAGCCAGAAGCTGGAAAAAACCCAGATGCCCTTCAAGAAAGGAATGGATACAGAAAATGTGGTACATTTACACAATGGAACACTACTCTGCTACTAAAAATAATGAATTCATGAAATTCTTAGGGAAATGGATGGAACTAGAAGATATCATCCTGAGTAAGGTAACCCAATCACAAAAGAACACACATGGTATGCACTCATTGTGGATATTAGCCCAAAATCTCACAATACCCAAGATATAACTCACAGACCACAAGAAGCCAAAGAAGAAGAAAGACAAAAGTGGAGATGCTTCTATCCTTCCTAGGAGTAACAAAATACTCACAGGAGCAAACATGGAGACAATGTATTCAGTAAAGACTGGAGGAGGTACTGTCCAGAGAGTGGCCCACCTAGGGATCCATCCCAGGTGCAATCACCATATGCTAACACTGTTGTGCTTGTCAGGAAGTGCAAGCTGACAGGAGCCTGATATACCTGTCTCCTGACATATACAAAGGGAGATGGTAGCAGTTAACCATTGAACTGACTGCAGGGTCCGAAATGGAGGAGTTAGAGAGAAAACGGAAGGAGTTTCAGGGGCTTGCTGCTCCATGGGGAGAGCAACAATACCAACTAACCAGAGCTCCCAGAGTCTAAACAGCTAGCCTGGGAACACACATGGAAGTACTCATGGCTCCAGCTGTATATGTAGTGGAGGATGGCCTTGTTGGGCATCATTGGGAGAGGAGGGCTTTGATCCCATGAGAACTGGATTCCCCAGTGAGGGGGGATTCAATGGAGGGGAGATAGGAGTGGATGAATGGGTGAGGGTACACCCTCATAGAAATAGAAAGAGGGAGAAATGAATAAGTGGTTTCTGGGGTTGGGAATGGAGAAAGGGGATAACATCTGAAATGTAGATAAATAAAGTATACAATAACAATAATAAAACAAAAAAGAAAAGAAAAACAAACAAACAAAAGCCATATAATTGAACTGGAAATCATAGTCAAGAATTTGAAAAATTTGGAAGCAATTTTATATTTCCCATACTACTTGCATTCATTATAATTGTCAAGGACAATGGACTGTCAAATGGGCCAATGGAACTTTAAAACATTATCTTCATAAAATAAAAAAAGTGGAGGTATATCTCCATACACAACAAACTTATTTAAATCATGTTCTATTTATTCTAATTTTTAAAAAAAGTTTGGATGCCAACGAACTCTCTGCTGAGTGTCTATGGTACCCTATAACTCAAAATACTTATGCCTAAGTGAAGGGAAGGATCCACTTACTAGCATATGGCATGGTCCAAATCAGGTATTTAATACAGGGAAGAGGGCATGTTTGTGTTTTTTCTGCAAGATGCTAAAGGAGCATGGTGGCTGCCAGAGCGATGGGTGAGACATGTTGAGGCCCAGACAAAGAATGATGCTGACCTGTGAGCTTGCTGAGCGCCCTGACAATGGTGACTGGGAAGCTGTATTGGACATATGTTTCTGACCCACCATTTCTTACCTATACCCAAGA